CAATGAATGAGTAACTTGTGAATCTTGCAGAATCTAGGCATTGATATAGACCAGGAAGATTGATGACTGGGCACCAATTTCTTGTCTACATAGATCCAACTACTGACAGGAATAAAACTCTGAAGAACGAGCCAGACTATCTCACTACACCTAGACCATTCAAACTCAGATAACCCTAGAACTAAGTTCCAAATCCTGGTGAACTGTGGGAGATGAAAACTCTACAGGTTGTTTGGATAAAAGTGGGGAAGATATGAACTAAACAATCAACTGTGACCCAAGGACCTGCAATGCTCCTGGACCCATGGATAAGGTTACCACACATCCAGAAATTTTTGGAACTGAGCCCCCAGATCCCCTGAAGGTATATAATAATCACTGATGCTGCTGGCGATTTGACTAAGCAGTGGAAACCTTGGATACAGACAGAATCTATTTTGAATACCAATATACTGAGGGGCTGATATTGGGGATCGGAACTCACAAATAGGGGCAGAACTATGACCCCCCTTCAGGAGCCAATGAAATTTGAGACTTCAACAACAACTAGAACCCAAAAATTGAACCAACATGCATGCTTACAAGGGTTTGTTTGTTTTGAATTTTGCGCAAAGCTACACGAGGGCTATCTGCGCTGCATGCTTACAAGGGATCCAGCTCGTCATCAATGAAGTTGGTGATCATGAAAGTCTTCTAACAAAGTGAAGTGAAAGGAAACAAAATGTTGAAGTTCAGTTGTAAGTCTGTATACTTACTCTGTCGCATCAGGGAACATATATCTATATAGGAACTACAAACCCCGTCTTAGAACCTCGATTGTTGTGCAATGCTAGATATCAGAGGTGGGAGAGAAGAGACTCAATTTGCCTCCACACCAAAAAAGAAAAGTAGTCCAGGAATTCATACCATAATCATTTTACCAGTTGAGAGAAGGAAAAAAAATTGTTAATTATTATTATTATTATGAAAATCAACTAGATAACACGATAATGTTAAAAGTTATCTCAAAACAATCATAAGACCGGGGAAACCCATTAGTGATGCTTTTTCGACAAAAAGTGATAAAATTATCTAAATGGGGTGCTTATATACAGTACCAGGATAGAGACTGCATTGACATAGGTAGAGAGTACCATGATACAAATATTGCCAAGGGCAATTTAGTGGGGTATAAAAGACTGGAGCAAGTGAGAAAAAAATCAGACGAATGCTTAGATGTGCAAAAAAACAAAAAAAACATAGCAGTCAAGTAATAGCTAAAAGTGTCAGCGGAGGTATGTTTTGGATTGTAAACATATTATGCTTATATATATAGCACAGCTGTTTATGGTATTTAATGTTTTCTACATAGTCTACATTCTTCTAAAGAAGTATTAGCATTTTTTGGCTTGAAATAGTAGCTTGCAGTGGCTTCTGTTGACACTTTGTAATTGGAATCCTGAAGCCGTATTGCTATGGTCAGGTTTTGTATACTGGATTCTTTACAGATGTCTAACTTGTTAGTGATAAATTTCAATGATAAATAAACAGCATCGCAGTCCACTTGTTTTAGAATAATACATTAAAATTATTAAAACAAGACATCAATGTTTTTAATTGCACAAAAATTTATTTGTAAAGTTTAAAAAATGGACAGAAAGTAGAAACTTAAAATTTAGAGTAAAAGATCATCAAAATATGGTGGATAAATTAAAAACAGGTGAATCAGTTTTTACAGAACATGTGACGAATTCTACACGTTATTGAGTGGGATAATGTAAAATAATGAACTAAATATAAGAGAATCCTTAAAAGTTGTTAAAACAAAATGAATATAATTAGAGATTTTGGCCCAGGAGCCACGGAATAAGCTTTTGGAAATCATTGTTGTAAGTGGCGCCAATGAACATGCTAATTGTACACATACATTAGGTTTATAAGAAACTTCACGTGTACTTCGTAATTTATTCTCCTGAAGATGGTGGAAGTATTTCCACCGAAACATGTAGAGTTTTTAAAGTTTCTTTTAACTTATTTTTTTAAACTTTACAAACAAATTATTATGCAAGTAAAAAACGTTGTCTCATTTTATTAATTTTATTTAACATTTTTTGCACAAGAACTGTCTGTTTTACGTAATAAGTCAAATGTATATACAAATGTTTGTTACACTGCTGGTTGTCACAGTTGCATCTAGAGCTTTAAATAATTGTCTCTTTTTTTTTGTAAAAATGGGCTTCAGTGTATCAAATATCTTTATGTCACTGCAACTTTCTGCCACACTACCACTACATTCATGTTCATGTGAATGCTCAGCATCTACTCCCCACCAGTTCAATAATTACCTGAGGTATACAAAAACTGAAGAAAGACCAAGTGTTTTAGCTTTAATACATAATCATTATGACACTGCTATCAACATTAAAAATATATGTAAATTATTTATGGAAAAGCACCCCAGAAGAATGGAGCATGCTAGCACATTATTTCAGTAGTGCATACATGTACATATGTGATAGCCAATGATTGAAATAGCTAATATACTATTGTTGTACAGAGTTGTTTAAATTAGTAACATAATTTAACAATTAATAACTACTATGCACGTAGACAGTACAGTACTTTACTATAACAATTTAAGTCTAGCTCCCCATGTAGTGTTACAACAAAATAATGGTTTGTTGACTTTTTATTGGATGTTTGTGGATTTTATGTGAAAATCCATGCAATTGCTTCCAGATTTAATCTCATAGTATCTCTTTTTTGCACACGTTTTCTGGGGGGGGGGGGGGTCATGCCCCCAGACCTCTGTACCATTATCATGCTGATTGTGCTTCACACAATATGTATTAGCTTTTGATCTCATAAATTAGAACCTCACCCTTTCAAACAATTCTAAATATGGGCCTGTTTTATAACAATCTGTGTAATGACTTAAGCAGGCTGAGATAACAGATTATTGATTAAAATATGGTTGTATTTAAAATGATTACAACAAAATGTTTTTCCTCTTTAAAAAAATTTAAGATAACATTATATATTACACTCAGACTTTACTTTTATAAAGTACAGATATTAACCTTAGTTGAACTAAACAGCCAAATACGTGTGTGTGTGTGTGTGTGTTCCAAAGTAGGCCTACTGGCTTTCACAGACAGCTATTTTAAAATAGAATATGGTTAAAGTATCACTAGCCATTGCTTCTTTAGTGCTTTGATATATAAAAAAGGTGTGCAATAACAAATTGGTCTATACATAAGTGTTATCTGAAGCTATCGTTTAATTTATCCTAGTAAGCATGCAATTTTGGTACTAAAATGCACAATGAAATGACTGACAGAAGCTATTTTGATAATTATGTTAGTCATACACAGATAAATATTATAAAGTCAGATTATGTAGGTATAAAAACATAATTAGACATTAAATTTACATTTTTATCTTAATTAGAGCCACAAATATTGAATATTACAGATTTTGGCAGTAACCATCTTGAAATCCATGATGATGGCAGTTACACCCAAAGTTTAGTGTGGTACCTGTTCTTAATCAATAAAGGGTGCTTGGAAGAAGCTTTGAGCAAAGTTTGGTGCTTTCATTACAAATTTAACAATTTTTTGCTTGTCCGATCCACTTACATTGAATCATTGCAAAAAGGTCAGAGGAGGACAATTGGATGATACCTGGGATGGAAGAAATTGTCATGCAAAAGGACAGGTTAAGATCTCTGAAACTGTTTTCTCTTGAAACAAAATTTAGAAGAGTTTAAGATTGTTAAGGGAATGATAGTGCTGATGCACTATATTTTTTTCATACTTAATGGTGAGAATGGTAGGACTAAAACATACAAATAAATTTTGGCATAATAGTAGTCATCTTCAGCTAAGTACTTTTTAAGTTTTTTTCTAACATGATAGTTTGCCTTTGGAATAGATTCACTTCAAATGTGGTGGATGCAGTAGATGTGGGAGAGTTTAAAGGAAAGCCTGATGAATATTTGAAATTGAATAATAAGATCTGGCTTTGTGCATTTTAAAAGTTTTGATTAGTAAATAGCATGGTAAAGATGGACCAACACATCCCTTGTTTTAAATGGTACAGTAAAGTTACATTAACTGGGTATGGCATTCTAAGGTTCAAAAAGAGCTCCTTCCTCCTTTGTCTATAGTTTTAATGTATTTTCGGTATTCCAAACCTGCCATTCCACTTTTATATGGTTACAGCAAGGTTACTTTTAATAAGTTTTATTAACTGAATAGGGGGTTTTAACTTTTTAAAAAGTACTTGGAGTTTTAAAGAAACGAACTGTTATTCTCTTTTCTCCATTGCTTTCAATGGGCATTCCTTTTTCTTTCACGTTATAATCTTTTCAATTTTTGTATATCCATTAGTACCAGAAAGCCCTGAAGTGAAGTAGTAGTAGTAGTAGTGTGGAACTGGTAGTAGTAATTAGTAAAATCTTCTTTAGTTTAAGTTTTAAACCAAATAGTAAGTGTTAAATGATTTCAACCACATTATCATGATTATGTCCGTTAAAATGTTAGTTTCTTACATCTAATGCCGATCGTTTCACGGCAAACTATACGCAGACTTTAATAAAACATAAAAGTATACTGAACATGCACGTACGCAGGGAGGATTCGGCAAATTATTTTTGTGATGTAAAAAATTATGCTTATTAACTTATATAATTATAGCGCAGCTGCTTATGGTATTCAACGCGTTCCACATAGTCGATTTTTTTTCTGATGAAGCATTAGCATTTTTTGGCTTGAACTTTAAATAGTCGCATGGATGTTGACACTTTGTAATTGGAAGGCCGAAGCCGCTCCGCATAACGTGTTGGATTTTGATCTCACAAATTAGAAATACACTTTCAAATATTATGCATACGGGCCTGCTAGACTACTATATAAATTATAACATTATTAATACTAGTAATATTAATGGTATTAGTAGTACTATTACTATCAGTATTAACAAACTAATAAAATTACAAATAAAAGACCAACAACACTCACCGACAATGAAATTGAAAGTGCAAGGTGCTATGAAAATTACAAACAGAATTACCCTTCTTTAAAGAACAAACAAAACTCGTAATAACTAAGTTCAATTTACTTATATTCGCCGTGATAAAAAGCCTTAAATGTGAAGTTAAAATAAACAGTTCAAGACGTAAGCAATACCATTTTAAACGCGGGAAATCTTTCGATACTCTCAAACGAGCAATTTCACGTTTCATAGAGGGCGATCAAATTATATTTTCATTGAACTGAATATTTTTCTTCATCTTTCCTGTACCTTTCAGCAAAAGTATTTAGATGCATTAGAAGACAAAAAGAAATACTTTTGGTGATGTAGCGATTTTAATTATATTTTTAGTTACATTTTTGTTTATCATTTATGTATTTCTTCTCTCCATTGTTTAGTTCAGCTTTATATTTTTATTTGCTTTAAAAAATGTAGCTTATCTACCTAATAATGTAGAATAAATATTTAATGAGTCACTTTTTATACTAGGAAAGCTATAGAGGTGAGGTATTGATTAATGGCTCATATTTGATTATGTAAAACAAATGCTAAGTTGTTAGCCACATGATATGTAATCTCATGGTCTGGCAAATAAATAAAAAGCTTGCGATCTAATGTTAAGTGAACCTGCTGAAAGAAGTTAGACTAGACATACGTAAGATAAATTTGTGAATTATTACAAGAAATATACAATTGCAGATATTTATTTGGTCATTACTTGTGATATTTTTTAATATAAGTCTAAAGAGGTTATAATTTCATTGTATAGGTCACTGATTAGGCCATATTTGGAATATTGTGTTCAGTCTTGGGCTTCTTACCTTAGGAAAGACATTCAATTGTTTGAAAGGGTTAAGAGAAAGGTTACTAGAATGGTGCCTGGGATGGAGGGGTTGTCATACAAGGAGAGGCTGAAATCTTGAAAACAAGAAGAGTTAGGGGGGATCTTACTGAGGTGTTTAAGATTTTAAAGGGAATTGATAGTTTAATGTATTATCTTTATTCACATTTAATAGTGAGATTAACAGGACTAGGGGAAACAAATATAAATTTTGCAAGATAGGGGTCATCTTCAGCTAAGACAATTTTAACTTTCTAACAGGGTGGCTGGCCTTTGGAATGGGTTGCTTCAGATGTTGTGGAGGCAGTAAATGTAAGAGAGTTTAAGAAAAAGATTGATAAGTTTATGAATAATAATGGCTGGCTTTAAGATTTAAAAAACATATATTAATAGTTTTAGTTTAGTTTAAAGGATGGAACAGCCGAGATGGACCAATAGGTCCCATGTTGTCCCAAAATGTTATGTTATTATTGTTCCTTTGTATAATCTTATGAATTAGGTGTTTCTTTTTCTGGTTCTTTTTTACGTACTATTCGTTATTATTACTATTGTTTTGTGTCACTTTTATACTGAAAACATTACTGTTTCTTCTTTGAATGTTTGACATTGAGATATTGAATTACAAAATCCTGGCTAGATACTACTCATTAATTATTGATTTATTGTACTGTATTTAAAACTTTTTTCTTATCCTGATAGTGACATGGTTGATAGCGTAATTGTTAACATGGTTGTTTAATGTTTCATTTTGAAGAGGAAACCTCAGAAAAGAAATGGTTATTTTCTATATCCCATGCATTCAGTGAAACACTGAAAATAATAAAAGTCCAAAAATGTGTGGGTGATTGAATATTTAACAATCTCTGATTTTTCACCATGTTAAAAATTACTTTTTATTGCTATAGGTATACGTCATTATATACTTTATTCTTCATTTGCATTATAGACTTAAATATGTTATTAATACTATGTATAGTGGTTGGGTGGTGGAGCAAAGATACTATCCAACATGGTATTGCTATTTAATGTTACTTATCAACTATTCATTTTACCCCACATTGTTAATTTAGTGACAGTTTGCGATAGAGAACAGTAAATACCAGGTACAATATATAGGAATACCAAGAAAAGCTTAAATTTGCATTGCAGATTTTCTATAATTTTTGAAAACTGTACAATAAACAAAAGTGTTTTTAATCTTCATTTGAACATCACATTGCATTCAATTTGGTTGTGCCGGACTGATGTTGGTAACTTACAGACATCTTGAGTACAAACAAGTTTGTAATTCATCTGATTTTTTGTTTACAGCATACTTGTACATTTGACTAAAGGCTTGCCATTTTTCGTATAGATACATGAAGCAGATTCGGAATTATAATCAATGTTTCTTCTCCAACATAGGGTCAGTCCATCCGACCGACCTTATGAACATTAGACGTCTGGATTTCAGAGCTAGATTCAAATCTGAACAATATCACAAAAATTCCATGCACTTTATGATGTGGGTGTATTTTAAGAGTGGCAATACATTTTTTAGCACGGATGTTGAGTGATAGGGGCACTGCAGACTGCCTGCCTTCCTTTTGATCAGTAATTCAAAATTAAAGATGGTGGCAGATAGCATTTATTAGCTTTGCCATAAATATAAAAAGACTTTGTGTATCAGAAACTATTTGCATCCTATAAACACCTTTTGTCATTACCTTTATGCATGATGGTACTTCACCATTCATTATTCTCCCGTGAAATAATTTTTCTGGGAGACCTTCAACATTGACAGTCCTGAGCAGAACTTTTTTCTCAGGAAAGCCTCCAAAATTGCCTGATCTCAATCCTTGTGACTATTGGTTGTAGAATTACCAGAAGCACCGAAATTATAGGTGGAATTCCTGGGCAAGTCCATAGCTGAAATAGATTGCTTTCATGATGGCATTGATATTAACATACTGGCTATACCTAGATTATCGTTCTAAGTTTTTGTGCCAGTGTTCTGTACGTAGTTAGAATTTTTCCAATAGCTTTTCCTTCCATGACCGGGCATAATCTGATGGTTAAGGTGCTCGACTCGCAATTTGATGGGTTCGAATCCCGTCATTGATCATGCTCGTCCTATAAGCAGCAGTGGGGATATTATAATGTGACAGTTATATAAATATAGAATAAAGTATTAAGCTTATGTGCGAAAACAAAGATTAGATAAATCCTTCTCATTAAAAGTGAAGTACAAAGCAATGTTATATTTCTTTACTATAGTTTATCACTTCAAATTTAGTGATGGTCAGTGCAAATATACCTTGAGTAGCTTTGCACAAAATTCAACAAACAATTTAACACTTCCTACCTACTTTTTGGTATTCTCATGTTCATTGATTTACTTATGAGTATTGAGGTAGGAGCCGTAAGATAATTGGATGCTCGCAAAAAAATTTGTTACAGAGCATAAATCAGACTTTCCTTGATTTCAACTGCGTCTGACACAAAGAAAGAGACTGGACATAAGTTTGCACAGAGTAAAACTATCTTTATTCAAATCATACAATAATCAAAGTTAAAGACGAGTGCGGCATATTTACATGATGTTACGTTAAAGTTATGTGAGAGTTTTTAATAGTGAGGTTAAGAGTGAAAGTTAAAAATTAAAGCTTAATCTTAAATTATATCAAAAGTTATAAGCTAAAATTTATAGCCGAAGTTTTGGTTCAGGTGTCCAAGCTTAGAAAACATGACATTATATACTAACAACAACAATGCCACTCTATCTTCAAAGTAAGGGATGTTAGATCTTTTGGACATCATTCAACTTGTCAGCACAAAATGTGGCATTCGCTTTCTATACAGCAATTGTTATTACCAGAGATTATATATCATACATGATACGATTGTTACCCAAACAAGTTCCGTGAATTACAAATATGAGAGGAGCTTAGTGACTCCTTTAACCAATTTTAAATATTAAGATCAAAATACTTAGTATAAAAAGAACGCTTGAAAAAGTATTAACTAAGGGCGTAAGAAATGTATGGTATGCCTGCATACCATACCAGTTTAGTTGATCAAAAGGTAGCAAAGATAAAACGCCAGTTATCCTCTTGTTGTATACTTCTTAAGGTTCATACAATGAGCAACAAATCATTAAATGAATAGATAACAATAAAATATTTTATTCGACGCAAATTAAAACTTTCTACTATCGTATTCACTTAATACCCTGCAGTATTCTCAGGTGCACTTATTTACTAAAGAGAAAACTGGTACCTCAGTGATGGAAGATATTGTAGAAAGTCTATTAAGTAATTAATATGAAATTCTAGCAATTCTACCCATTATTAAGATAGAGCTCACTTAATACCCTGCAGTATTCTCAGGTGCACTTATTTACTAAAGAGAAAACTGGTACCTCAGTGATGGAAGATATTGTAGAAAGTCTATTAAGTAGTTAATATGAAATTCTAGCAATTCTACCCATTATTAAGATAGAGCTCACTAAAGTTTCTTTTTGGGCAATCGAGCCAACTCATTACAGATACTCTTGCTCTTGTTTTGTTTCAGAGTATTGTGTTTGATTGTCGGTTTTTATTTATTAAAAATGTTATTTTACACTTTCTTTTGGCTCTTTCTTTAAAATAAACTCAGTCAGAGTTTACAAAGTAAAAGAGCCCATACTATACTTGATATCGTCGAACCTCCACTCGGCAGACCTTATTCTTGCTGTGCAGAAAATTCGTGTACTAGAGTACACATAAGAGGGAAGGCAATTAGTCAACAGCACCCACCACCAATTATTTACTACTCTTGCCTGACAAAATAGTAGGAGTTGACTGTCGCTCTAATAACAGAATCACGACTCAAACTACAGAGAGTGTTTTTGTGACAATGGGCAATGAAACCTTAACCCTCGGATTTCATATTTGACTATTCTAACAGCTAGATCACACCCTCATGTAAGAGAATGAAATATATAAAAGTAGTGAAACACTTGCCTGCTGATCATGTGAGATACCTAAGAAATTACCAAATGAAATAAAACTGTGTTGGCATAAACTGAATAAAGTACTGTTACGTCTCCGTTTGTTAATTAACTTTCCGTAACTTCGTTCCGACGAAACTTTAACGACACAAGTCCTTACTTAATAAAACTGGTTTATTCTTTCCGAATAGAACTTTACGATACACTTAATTTCAATATTCGCGCTAAAACAAACACTATAACGAACGAACATTAACTTCAACAATACCCTGTGACTGCAGTTCAATCACTCACTACCTACACACACAATACCGCGTCACGTTGTCACCCTCTTATATATACCAGACTACCCTATCTAGTAAATGCTAGGGCATTCGTGAAGGAAC